TCTCAGCAGCATCCTTCTTGGCCTCATAGGCGTCCACGTCGACCACCTGCTGCTGCTGCCGCGACCCCGCCGCTAGGGCATGCCCCTGCCCATAGCGGCGAGGTCGCGGCATGGCCTTGACCTTGGGCGGATTCTTCGGCTCTGGCACTGCCTGCGGTGGTGGTGGTGGTGGTGGCATTGGTGGTGGAGGAAGCTCCATGCCACCACCACCTGCATCATCGGCTGCACTCGGTGCAGCAGCCGCCTTCATGACACCTGCGTCACATGAGCCACCTGCACCATCGGCTGCACTGCTACTTGGCCCATCGGGATCTTTCGATCCCTTCGGCAATTCACTGCTGAGGGAATCATTCACCGCCCCGGCTAAGTCACCATCGATGAACTTCTGGAGGATGCGTCCTGGGACGTAGCCTGCATGCAGAAGCGTGGAAACAAATTGCCAAAGCCTACATGAGTGAAGGAAATATGTTTATATATTGCCCTGTCCAACATGCAATGAGTGAAGTGTATGTTTATTGGGCCGCGCCTCCTGGAATTTCAACGTCCTCCATAACCTTCGAAGCAGTGCCGCGAACTGGCATGCGCTCCAGCTTCGAAGCTGCCATTGTGTCCATTGCGTTGCCGAAAAGGTCACGGAGAATTACGAACAGCATTTGTTGGAGTGCATGAGCTCCCCAGGGCAATGCACTTTTGATGTTTATAGCGGTATATTGTAATCAATTAAATTGTAGGGTTTCCCCAGAGGGAAAATGGTGAATGCATCTATATCGGCGACCCTGCTATACCATGCTCAAGGTAGGTATATATATATATATATTATACTATATATAAATATAAACCATAAAACAAGTGACAATCGACCTATACACACAACTAAAGGTGCCGGCATGTCGCTGTCTTCATGACATGCGCTGAAGCCCAGGAGGAATGCAGCAGTTTGTGAACATGTCATGGTCTTATGCCTGTAACTTGCATCAATACAATTGGAATTTCTTTCAAGGGATGGATGATGCTGAACTCTTCTTCACATTAATTTTATTCTCTTGTTTTTTCAATCCAAATTTCATTGTACCTTCGAACCTCACCAGCCCTCCCCATAGTGTCCTGTGGGGCCAGCTGAGCTGCGGAATGATTCAGTAGCCTGCATGGGGCGGTGAGCAAAAATCCATTATAGAACTCGAACATGTCTTGCTTGGTTTCTGTCATGCATGCTGGGAAGCAACCACAAAATATATTGGGCCACATTGAAATCCACATGGAAGCAAAACGGCATCCACGGATCTACCAGAACGGCTGAACGAAGTTGAGTCAAAAAGATCGCGTTTTTACTCCGTGTAGCATGCCTTCGCGAATGTTTCTGGCAAAAAATGCGCATATCATTTTACATGTTCAAAAACAATGTGGTTTGAAACTTATCCCTGCGAGCAAACCCGCAAAAGAAGTGCGGCGAGCAGAGCCACGCCAGCACCAAGTGAAGTATAGCCAAAGCTGAAACTATGATCTTGCAAGATAGATCAGGCATGGAAGGCGGCGAACAAAAACGCCTAGTGCACCTTGGTGAAGATCTCAACCACAAGCTAGTCATGGCTGGCCTGGGCAGTGCCGAAAATGAATGCAAAAAACCTTGGCGGCAATGAGCAAAGATGAAAAAACAAACTTGACCTGACCCATGAAACAATCAGATTTCCCAAGCTGTTCCCATGGACTATGGTCATTGAAATTCAAGCAAGCAAAAAAAAACAATTTGCAAATACAAGCTGTTTGATTGAAAACGTCTCTACGGAGCAAAGGTCTGCATTCATAAAAATTAAATGGGCAGCACGCCTTCTCATCCCAACTGTTTCTTATAAGGCCTGGAATCAAAACAGCGTCAGCCAGCAAAACAGCCTGGGCACCCGCACCAAAATCGTAAAACAACAAGCCTTCAAAACATGGCATGCACCTACTTCAAAGGAGTGTTGAACCAAAAAACGGCGAATGAAACACTCAAATGATTTCGCTGGCCAACGTGCGGCAACCATTGCGAAAAACGTTTCATGTCATGCATGCCCCTCTTGACAACGAAAAAACTCTTCATGCAGCATGGAGCATGCATGGCAACCTCTAAATAAAACAGCAAATGTTTATATATGTCACATTTGCCGGATATAAAAGAAAGATGCCAAAAGGTCGATTTGTGACAACTATATTTTTGGTTTGAAATGTTTCTCCATGACAAACAAAAGGAAAAATAATCGAACAAATCAAAGCTCGAAGCCACGCAGGCCGACGCATGCCTCTGAAAATCAAGGCTCACATCTCACAAACAAAGCTTGCAAGGCCCAAACTGACAAGGTTATGTATGTTGTTTTAGCTCAAAAAGTATCTTCCTCTAAGTAGGCTAAGTGACTTAGGCTCCATGCTCCGTAAGTGACTTAGCCCACTTAGAACTAAGTAGGTTAACCTACTTAGGCGACTTAGCTATAAGTCCGCTAAGTAGCTTAAGGCACTTAGCCATAAGTGGGCTAAGTTGCCGCGTAAATTTATATCTACTTACATAAAATGCTATGTACATAGGCTAAGTGCTATGTACTTAGCTAAGTGGCCTAAGTGTCACCATGGACTTAGTCAACTTATATGTGGACTTAGCCTACTTATAAGTATACTTAATCAACTTACTAAGTGACTTACTAAGTGCTTACTAACTATGCTAAATATCATAAGTACTTACTAACCAGGCTGATCCTCCAAGTAATGAGCTTCCCACGCCGTCATTCTGCCCAACATGGAAGCGGCGCTGCTTCTTCAAATGCTGCTTCTTCATCGTCAAATGCAATGTTGTCCTGGGCATACGAAATGTCCCCCCTCAAAGACCTGCCGAAACAGGAACGACAGTCGAAGCCCATCAATTTGGCTATACTGCCCTGGTCCCTTCAGTTCCTCTACCACCTGTCAACCCACCAGGCCCTCCAATGGAAGCATATCCGTTACAATCGGAGCTGTCACAGAACCATCGGGTGCTCCACACTCACATCTTCAAAGAAGTCATTCCGCCTCCCCAGTCAGGCCAAGGCAGTCGCCTGATGGTGACGGAAGTAGATCAGTATGGAGTTGAACGCAACCGTCAAGCGGAGTTCTTCTTCAATGGAATTGTTGGTCATGTCCGCTCCTACAATGGTGGACGCATCAACAGCTGGTCCGAGGCCACCCGCCTCGCCAATTACTGGCGTCGTCATTACAACATTCCCGAAGTACAAGATGAAGATACCTCTTGGACCTCATCGTGGCAAGATCGCCACCGATCGTATGACAATGCGGACAACACCGCTGGAACCTATGGGGAAGAGCCAGAAGGCGAAATGGAAGACGACACTTCAGTGACAGTTGAAACAGGCAATGTGCCGATTCCAAGTCAGATCCACCAATTGGCATCTCTGCTTCACAATATTCTCCTGTCTGACAGGGAATATGAATATAATGCACCGATCCTTGAGAAGCTCGAAACTCCTCCCGCAGATCCAAATGCCAATCCCATCCAGCTTTTCTCGGCAGTTGACCTGGCCCACCTTGCCAGCCATTTGTCTATCACTTCGCAGACTCTTGCCCAACATGCTCAGAATCATGAACTGGATGACACCTCAGAGATCTCCGACTAGATCGGGCGCGAGCTGAACGTTAACTCCTGAGTTGGGTTGGTAATTAACTCTTGTCACTGGTTTTTTGATTACATAATCCCTTACCAGTTGACCGTATCAGAGCGTGACTAACCTGTCCATGCGTCAAAAAAGCCCTGCGTCAGCAGGGCGTGTGTGTGAACCATCTGAAAAGATGTAAAACTTCTACTTCCGATTTTACCTGTTCCTTCTTCATTTTACTTCTGGCACGGGAAAAAGATGTTAAACTTCCCTGATTTTTGCCGGCATTATTTCATTTCATTTCAAGCAGGGGGCACAGGCCCATTGTGGATACCTGTGCCAACGGAGCTATTCCACAATGGGAGAAGCGGAGGTTGATCACCTCCGTGTACCTGCAAATTTCCAATTTATCGTCAATGGCAACCGGCTAAGCCAAGAACCGGCACGTCGAACAATTGGTTTCTGTCTTTACTGTTTCGCTGCACTGTTGTCGCAATCTGTCAACTAATTTCTTCTAGCACTGGACATGGCGATGATTCCTTTTCGATGTTTCTCGGGTCATTTCACCGACCCATTCCTGTCAGGTATAATTGGAGTGTGTTTGCACGTAAGATACATTCCACATCAAAATTCGCAATGACTGTTCTGAGCAAGTGTGTGTATATGTGCATGTGGATATGATCTAGGGTGAGTTGCTGACTTCGGTGAGTTTTGCCTGGTAAACTGTGCTATTTGCAGCTCGCTGTGTGTATTTTATTTCTCCGAAAGTGAATTAATTGCACCATCTACAGTGCATGGTCTCTGTGTGTGCGCGCGCGTGATCTTGCGTTAAATTCATAGATCCAATGAGCGAGTGGGCTCCACAGGGCTTTGAATATGGCTACATTGAATTTGAGGGTGACAGCTCCACCTGCAGTAGCCCCGGTGCTAAATTTGTGGAGCGAGAGTTGGGAAAATCACAGATGATACCTGAAAATATGAAAGCATTCGCTATCTACCAAAAAAAACAATGATATGCGATGATATTTGGGGTCGTGCAATATAGCACAAATAGCGATTTTACAGTCAGGCTGCGCCATTTACCGTCGCTATTTAAATATATATTTTTGAGCCATCCACGTTTTTCCCGGTCTAACAAGAAGACATTTCTGCAAATGGAAATCTCTGCCCGCCAAGCAAAAATGATCGGTTTTTCCATGCTGGAATCCTGGGGCTTTCATGAAGACATGAGAAGCGCTTCCAATATCTTCCAAAATCTTCAAATGCGTTCTATGAGGCCTGCTATATAATGATATCGAAAAGATCTAGGAAATGCAAACAAATGGATGTCAATGTGGCTATGAGGCTTTGAGATCTCCTTTTGCTTGGTCCGTTCGGACGGTCTGGTTAGAAGACTGTGCTCACAATCTTGGACTTGGCATCACCTGAGCCAACAGCATCGACTTTGGCCGTAACATCGTTGGGAACCCTGTGGCTTGAAGTGAAGCACCGAAACACACAAACATAAACAAATATAAACAGCTTTTCAATGTGTGCCCTTTTTCAGGTTGGCAAGCATCTTTTTCATTCAGTCTCATCCTAGCATTTGCTTTGCGCTTCAGCACCTACAAATCTTACAATATCTTACTTAGACTCAGTGCAGCTCCGCCCGGCTGACCCTGCTTCACCATCCCTCGGGCCTGGGTCACCTTGAGCAACGTCAGGCGACTCAGCCGTCGGATCATTCGACGCAATCCCTTGATTGTTGTGTTTCGGGGGTTCCTGCGCTTCCGAAAGCGCTGGCAGATCATCATTGCCTCCAGGGGATGGATCCAGAAATGGACAACTGCTCCAGGCAAACCAACATCTGTAAAAATAACCATTGCATACACTGCATGTCTATGAATCGATAAAGTTACTGTATCATATCTAAATAATATTAATTATGTATTTTTAGAGTACTTTAATTACAGCAATTTTATATAATCATCTTAGTGGCGATTGCTCTTTTGCCATTATCATTAATACTAATATGTCATACTTTCCGTTCTAGCTCTCAACCTTTGATCCCAGGCACCAGGAGTCGGCGGTTCTGGTTGCGGTTGTGGTTCTTGCGCTGCAATGCTGGAAGATGGATCCACAGCACCTGGGCCGATGGTTGTTGCACAGCAATATCACTGCCGTGTTACAGATTCATAGAATTTCATAGAGATTCACAGTATTGAAGTCAACTTGCTCCATCGGGCTCTATTTTGGCCCTTGCTATTCTAGCTCCAAGTTGCCAATCTCTCAACCTTTGTAATCTGTTAACCCAGGCGCCAGCAGATGTAGACAAACGGGCGTTAATGGTTACCATCCGCACACGACTTCCCACGATGCCGGAGCCCTGGGAAAAATTTAATGCGGGAGCCAAAGCTGTCCGATTCTCATCCTGGAAGTCGGCCCCAATGACGTTGATGAAATTCAGGATGGCTATCACATCCTCAAACTTGGAGCTGCCCTCTGACGTTCGAAATGCCTACTGGCCTACTTCGCCTATTCTGCCCTTCCCATCTCTTCCCATCCTTTCCTGGCAAAAAAAACAACCCGGCAAATGGTCAAACAAATTCTCATTAGCCTTCGAGCTTCGTAAGAGTTTATGCTCGCAATCTTCTCCCGGAGATAGGCATTTTCAATTTCCAGAAGCGCATGGGCACCTCACATGCTGCAGCTTTTCACTTGCCCGTGCTGATCACTGTGCTCTGAATTTTCTTCAGTTTGACATGACGGTTTAATACGTTTCGTCAAAGCATTCACCTGCTGTTCCATGTTCTTTGGTACAGCCGTTTGCTCCCCTGCCACCCATGCGATGAACATTTGCAGGCATCATATCATGCAGTCAGCTGCAATTAATCGCCAATCAGTTAGCACCACATCATACAAAAACACACACACACAATCGTCCATTTCCTGGACTTTCAATGATTTATCACAAACATTGAGGAAACAATATGTTGAAACCAGTGTGGTCATTAGCTCTGACAAGTGCAGGTGGTAAATCAATAGTCTTAGTCAAGAATTTTGATGGGCAGGGTACAAGTGAATCACAGTGAATCCATTGGTACCTGTGCCATGGAAGGTGTGCGAGCCAGAACGTTGATACAACACGAAGATAATATGGGCGCGGCCAATATGAAAATTGGAGGGTAGCTTTCATGCAGTGTTCCCATTTTCCTAGAAGTGATTGCAGAAGTACGACTGTGACCAAGTTCCATCCGTACATTTGGGATAGTATTGTATTTCTTTCGGGCTCAAAAATAACTTCTCTTTTCGCCCCCGAAACTAGGTGGCAAATTCAATATTTTCATCAAAATTTCCCCTGCATCTTTCAGCTGCACATCCAGCCGTTGCCCCCAGCCGCCTCTCTGGGCATCCGAGGCACATTGCTTCAGGGCCTCTGAAATCTTCGCAGGATCCTGGCTCCCGCTACCAAGCGCCAGGATGCGGTTCCAATTTCCTCCAACAAGCTGCACAATCACCCCGACGATGCAAAGAACTGCCAATGAAGCCAAGCAAGCGAGCAACAACCTTTATGGTTCTTTGTGGACGAGAAGTTTGTGGAACTGGTTTTTGCGTTTTTCACTGCATGCTGCATGGACTTCATGACCTTCAGGACCATCACTTTAGTTGCAAGCTTACTAATTATCATCATCCATACCATCTACGCTGCAGCCATTCTATTCTTATCCTCTCTAAGGTTACCGTATTGTCCTGCCGGTATCAAGCCAATTGTGCAAATAGATATTCATGAATGTTTATGTATTTGTATAAAATACACTACACCATAGTGCCAGCTCATCCAAGAAAAACGCTACTTCCCCCCAAAAAAGACTCGGAACATCAAAATGATCACCGTGAAGTGCTCACCAAGTTTGGCTTCCATATCTCCATCCTCTTGAAGGGACCTGCTTGCCAATATCAGGAGGCTCGCGCTCAAAACAGTGTCTGCTAGATTGATCGCGGGAGCCTTCCAAGGTCGTAGCGATGCCTGCACAACAGTATAGGCGACCAGGACAATACTTACCAAACCTGTCTGTACTGGTGGCAAGTTGGTCCCCACGACGATGGACACTGCAAAGCCCAAGCCGCGGCAAAGAAGGGGAATGATGAATCCATAGCTGTCAAGGCGAAAGTTGGAAGTGCAAAAGCGGAAACTTTGGACCTTCCCATGCTTGCCCTCAACACTCCACCTCGGCAGATTCCATACAGCATAGCTGCAGACCACCAGGAATCCGAGGACGAAAAGAGTCAGCAAGCCAATCCCAAATGCCAGCAGCAAACCATGCCCGTCTTCTCCGCAGAAAATGGTGGGATAGCTGAGAACACTGTAGCGTCCGTTGGGATGCTTGTAGCACATCATAGGTTTCAAAGAGACAGCAGCTATGGTGCCAAACCCGAGTTGGAGTCCAAGTCCCATGGTGTTCAAAGCGAAAGGCCATTTCCAGGGCTGTGATTTACATTTGCGGAAGCAGCTTAGCTGGGACAGCGCATAGCAAAGTCCGACCCAAGATAGCAAAACGGGGCAAACAAATGCAGTTGCCACGTAGCTGATTGATGAAGTGCCACCAACGAAGCAACTCAAACTCAAGCTGTCCATATCTAGCACGAAAATCTGCAAGCTTGACGAAGTCTGTTCAAAAGTCGCAGGCCATTTTGCAGACATCAACCCAAGGAGTGCAAGACTTTGGAGGGCATTCACAGCCAGGCCAACAGCCATCTGCCCAGTTTTGAATGGTCTGGCCTGTGCTGTGACCTTGGCAAATTCGCTGAAACAGCTGGAAGCACATGATAACATCATGATAACAGATGTCCCTCCAAAAGAAAGACACGAAAGAATCCCAAACACACTTGAACAAATCCCCACACACGCACACACAAATTTGCCTGCCCGTCCTTACCTGTTGCGCGTTACTGTCACACATGATTAACTGTTTTCCTGGCCATGGCCGAATTTACATCAATTTATCCAGTCAGCTTCTCTTTACCTCAATCTTGTCCCTGCATGTTCGCACTCCATGAATGCCATGGACGACACTTCTTTGAGGGATGTCTTTTCAAACATGATCTTGATTCCTAACTTTGTACATACATGACCCATCATGACCCTACGAATACCTTCCTAGCATTCTTTACTGTGTTTATATATCGATGAATAACCAATAACCGTTGATAACCATTGATAACCACTTCTCACATTGGCGATTGGCACGCCCCAGGTGAATGGTGAACCCAGACACTTGCCAGACACCATCTGTCGCCCAAGATCATGATTTAGGTTTCCAAGTTTTGAGGGTTTAGGAATTAGCAAAAAGGCTTTGGGCTTTATGATCTTGCTGTGTTTCGGTTTTAGGTTTTCCATGTTTTTTCCCGAGAGCGCCTGCGAAGGGTTCTTCGTAAAAAAGCAGCCTTTCTAATACATCTTCACACCCTCACATCTGCTGATCTACATCTTCACACCCTCACATCTGCAGGTCTACATCTTCACACCCTCACACCTGGAGATCTACATCTTCACACCCTCACACCTGCAGATCTACATCTTCACACCTTCACACCTGCAGATCTACATCTTCACACCCTCATATCTGCACATCTAGATCTTCACACCCTCACATCTGCTGATCTACATCTTCACACCCTGACACCTGCAGATCTACATCTTCACACCCTCACATCTGCAGATCTACATCTTCACACCTTCACATCTGCAGATCTCCTCTCGCTCTTCTTTCTATCTCTCTCTTAAGGCGGGGGCGGTGCCGCCGGAGCGCCACGAAACGGAACCCTTTCGCACGAAATGGACGTTGGACGTCAAAAACTGCGGAAAAATTGCGATTCTAGTTAGTCCATCGCAACCCTTTCGCACGAAATGGACGTTGGACGTCAAAAACTGAGGTAAAATAATTGCGATTTTGAAGTGTCAAATGCAACCCTTTCGCACGAAATGGACGTTGGACGTCAAAAACTGATGAAAAATTGCGATTCTAGTTAGTCCATCGCAACCCTTTCGCACGAAATGGACGTTGGACGTAAAGAACTGAGGAAAACATTTCGATTCTAGTTAGTCCATCGCAACCCTTTCACACGAAATGGACGTTGGACGTCAAAAACTGTGGAAAAATTGCGATTCTAGTTAGTCCATCGCAACCCTTTCGCACGAAATGGACGTTGGACGTCAAAAACTGAGGTGAAATTGCGATTTTGAGGTGTCACGGGCAACCCTTTCGCACGAAATGGACGTTGGACGTCAAAAACTGAGGAAAAATTGTGATTTTACTTTGTTCATCGCGACCCTTTCGCACGAAATGGACGTTGAACGTCAAAAACTGCAGTGAAATTTTGATTTCACGGGTCCGGTCTCTGTGTGTGAAAGTGACTGTGTGTAAAAGTTTCTGTGTGTAAAAGCTTCTGTGTGTAAAAGCGTCTGTGTGTAAAAGGGTCTGTGTGTAAAAGCTTCTGTGTGTAAAAGCGTCTGTGTGTAAAAGGGTCTGTGTGTAAAAGGGTCTGTGTGTAAAAGCTTCTGTGTGTAAAAGCGTCTGTGTGTAAAAGCTTCTGTGTGTGAAAGTGACTGTGTGTAAAAGCTTCTGTGTTTAAAAGCTTCTGTGTGTAAAAGTGACTGTGTGTAAAAGCTTCTGTGTTTAAAAGCTTCTGTGTGTAAAAGCGTCTGTGTGTAAAAGCGTCTGTGTGTAAAAGGGTCTGTGTGTAAAAGGGTCTGTGTTGAAAAGCTTCTGTGTGTAAAAGTGACTGTGTGTAAAAAGCGTCTGTGTGTAAAAGTGTCTGTGTGTAAAAGGGTCTGTGTGTAAAAGCGTCTGTGTGCAGAATTGTCTGGTGTAAAAGCTTCTGTGTGTAAAAGCTTCTGTGTGTAAAAGCGTCTGTGTGTAAAAGCTTCTGTGTGTGAAAGTGACTGTGTGTAAAAGCTTCTGTGTGTAAAAGTGACTGTGTGTAAAAAGCGTCTGTGTGTAAAAGCGTCTGTGTGTAAAAGGGTCTGTGTGTAAAAGCTTCTGTGTTTAAAAGCTTCTGTGTTTAAAAGCTTCTGTGTGTAAAAGTGACTGTGTGTGACATGGTCTGTGTGTAAAAGTGTCTGTGTGTAAAAGCTTCTGTGTGTAAAAGCGTCTGTGTGTAAAAGCTTCTGTGTGTGAAAGTGGCTGTGTGTAAAAGCTTCTGTGTTTAAAAGCTTCTGTGTGTAAAAGTGACTGTGTGTAAAAGTGACTGTGTGTAAAAAGCTTCTGTGTGTAAAAGTGTCTGTGTGTAAAAGGGTCTGTGTGTAAAAGCTTCTGTGTTTAAAAGCTTCTGTGTGTAAAAGTGACTGTGTGTAACATGGTCTGTGTGTAAAAGTGTCTGTGTGTAGAAGCTTGTGTGTGTAAAAGTGACTGTGTGTAACATGGTCTGTGTGTAAAAGTGTCTGTGTGTAGAAGCGTTTGTGTGTAAAATGGTCTGTGTGTAAAGGTGTCTGTGTGTAAAAGCGTGTGTGTGTGTAAAATGGTCTGTGTGTAAAGGTGTCTGTGTGTAAAAGCTTCTGTGTGTAAAAGGGTCTGTGTGCAGAAGCGTCTGTGTGTAAAATGGTCTGTGTGTAAAAGCGTCTGTGTGTAAAAGCTTCTGTGTGTAAAAGCGTCTGTGTGTAAAAGCTTCTGTGTGTGAAAGTGACTGTGTGTAAAAGCTTCTGTGTTTAAAAGCTTCTGTGTGTAAAAGTGACTGTAGGTAAAAAGCGTCTGTGTGTAAAAGTGTCTGTGTGTAAAAGGGTCTGTGTGTAAAAGCGTCTGTGTGTAAAAGCGTCTGTGTGTAAAAGGGTCTGTGTGTAAAAGCTTCTGTGTTTAAAAGCTTCTGTGTGTAAAAGTGAAAGCTTCTGTGTGTAAAAGCGTCTGTGTGCAGAAGTGTCTGGTGTAAAAGCTTCTGTGTGTAAAAGCTTCTGTGTGTAAAAGCGTCTGTGTGTAAAAGGGTCTGTGTGTAAAAGCTTCTGTGTGTAAAAGCTTCTGTGTGTAAAAGCGTCTGTGTGTAAAAGCTTCTGTGTGTGAAAGTGACTGTGTGTAAAAGCTTCTGTGTTTAAAAGCTTCTGTGTGTAAAAGTGACTGTGTGTAAAAAGCGTCTGTGTGTAAAAGCGTCTGTGTGTAAAAGCGTCTGTGTGTAAAAGCGTCTGTGTGTAAAAGGGTCTGTGTGTAAAAGGGTCTGTGTTTAAAAGCTTCTGTGTGTAAAAGTGACTGTGTGTAAAAAGCGTCTGTGTGTAAAAGTGTCTGTGTGCAAAAGCAGTGTAAAATGGTCTGTGTGTAAAGGTGTCTGTGTGTAAAAGGGTCTGTGTGTAAAAGCGTCTGTGTGCAGAAGTGTCTGGTGTAAAAGCTTCTGTGTGTAAAAGCTTCTGTGTGTAAAAGCGTCTGTGTGTAAAAGCTTCTGTGTGTGAAAGTGACTGTGTGTAAAAGCTCCTGTGTTTAAAAGCTTCTGTGTGTAAAAGTGACTGTGTGTAAAAAGCGTCTGTGTGTAAAAGCGTCTGTGTGTGACATGGTCTGTGTGTAAAAGTGTCTGTGTGTAAAAGCTTCTGTGTGTAAAAGTGTCTGTGTGCAGAAGTGTCTGTGTGTAAAAGCTGCTGTGTGTAAAAGCTTCTGTGTGTAAAAGCGTCTGTGTGTAAAAGCTTCTGTGTGTGAAAGTGACTGTGTGTAAAAGCTTCTGTGTTTAAAAGCTTCTGTGTGTAAAAGTGACTGTGTGTAAAAAGTGTCTGTGTGTAAAAGTGTCTGTGTGTAAAAGGGTCTGTGTGTAAAAGCTTCTGTGTTTAAAAGCTTCTGTGTTTAAAAGCTTCTGTGTGTAAAAGTGACTGTGTGTGACATGGTCTGTGTGTAAAAGTGTCTGTGTGTAACAGCAGTGTAAAATTGTCTGTGTGTAAAAGTGTCTGTGTGTAAAAGCTTCTGTGTGTAAAAGCGTCTGTGTGCAGAAGTGTCTGTGTGTAAAAGCTGCTGTGTGTAAAAGCTTCTGTGTAAAAGCGTCTGTGTGTAAAAGCTTCTGTGTGTGAAAGTGACTGTGTGTAAAAGCTTCTGTGTTTAAAAGCTTCTGTGTGTAAAAGTGACTGTGTGTGACATGGTCTGTGTGTAAAAGTGTCTGTGTGTAACAGCAGTGTAAAATTGTCTGTGTGTAAAAGTGTCTGTGTGTAAAAGCTTCTGTGTGTAAAAGCGTCTGTGTGCAGAAGTGTCTGTGTGTAAAAGGGTCTGTGTGTAAAAGCTTCTGTGTTTAAAAGCTTCTGTGTGTAAAAGTGACTGTGTGTAACATGGTCTGTGTGTAAAAGTGGCTGTGTGTAGAAGCGTTTGTGTGTAAAATGGTCTGTGTGTAAAGGTGTCTGTGTGTAAAAGCGTCTGTGTGTAAAATGGTCTGTGTGTAAAGGTGTCTGTGTGTAAAAGCTTCTGTGTGTAAAAGCGTCTGTGTGAAGAAGCGTCTGTGTGTAAAAGCTTCTGTGTGTAAAATGGTCTGTGTGTAAAAGCGTCTGTGTGTAAAAGCTTCTGTGTGTAAAAGCGTCTGTGTGTAAAATGGTCTGTGTGTGAAAGTGACTGTGTGTAAAAGCTTCTGTGTTTAAAAGCTTCTGTGTGTAAAAGTGACTGTGTGTAACATGGTCTGTGTGTAAAAGCGTCTGTGTGTAAAAGCTTCTGTGTGTAAAAGCGTCTGTGTGTAAAATGGTCTGTGTGTGAAAGTGACTGTGTGTAGAAGCGTTTGTGTTTAAAAGCTTCTGTGTGTAAAAGCGTTTGTGTGTAAAATGGTCTGTGTGTAAAGGTGTCTGTGTTCTGTCTCTGTGGACATGGTTTCGGTTGAGACTGTCCGCGAGACCGCGGCTTGTGCAAGAGCGATTGGTTCATGCAACATAGTGTAAAATCGATGTCAAACATGCACTGTCATAAATTGTTTCTCCCTTGCCTTCTTTGCCGCTGCATGCAGATATTCGCGGGCCTCTTGTCAACACGGTCTGAAAACATGTCTTTGCAAGAAGTGACTTTGGACCGCATTACGAAGAGCAACACCCACATGGTCATGGTGGTTTTGCGTCCGGTGTACCATGAAATGAAGCAGTTGCCCGGAAAAGAGAAGGGCACTTGGTGGAAGGCGATCGTTCGTCTCGTGGATCAAAAGGGACAAGGACTCTATGCAGAGATCCGGGGATCTTCTGAGAGCAGTGTTCGAAAGCGGGCCCAAGAGTTTTACCAGCCCAAATTCATCCAATTGATGCAAGCTGTTGTAGTGCAGAATTCGCCTTTTCTGCTGATGTCACGAACAAGGGGAAGGTGTCGCCAGTGGCAGAGGCTCATGCCAGTGCGATGAAGTTACGCGGCCTTTTCCCCACCGCCAGGTCCAACTTTGGTGTTTTAACGGAACATTTTACCAGATCCCACTGCATGCACATACAAGAGAAAATGGGAGACAGCAATACGGAGGCGCGTGAGACTCTTCGACTCACGGAGGAGTTAGCTGATGACATGGAACCTGGCGCCTTGCGTCGTCGTCTGGATGACATCTATCTCCGTCGAAGAGAACACGTGTCGCCAAACTTGCCAGAGACACAGCCAGGCCGCGAAGCTCATCTCTTGCTATTTCCGACAGAGCACTACGGAGTCACTTTCAAGGGCGTATCTCCACCGACGCGCAGCGCGTTGATGGAACGGTTGCATTGAAAATAGAGTTCTGGTTTCTGTTGAGGTGGCATGTGACTGCACGGATTGATTGTCTGTACGATCGCGCTTACGTCTGTACGATCGCGCTTCGCGGCTCTTGCCTCAAAAAACAGAGTGTTCTGGCGCATCTCTATGTGAGGTGCATTGTCGTCTATCAAAATTTCTTCTAGATGAATGCATGTGTTTGAGACGGGGCATGCGGCACTGAGGATATCACGGCGTGACGCTGCATCTTGCATGACCCGTCTCAGTGAGGCGCAGCTCCCATTCAGGTTCCAAACTTGTGCTGTGTTTTGCAGTTGTGATGTCAAGACTTGTGCTGTGTTGGCATTCTATTGATTGTGCCGTTCACTACAGCACTACACCAAGGCTGTGACCTACGAGTGTTGCTCGATGACATTTATTTCGTCTACAACTCAAACTTTTCTGTTTTTGACATCAAGCACCTGATGGCATCGAGCTCTGTTGCAAGCGTCTGCGGACATTTCACATTACATTCAGGGTTTTTGATGGATGTTTTTTGGTCTTGGAGTAAATCAAATTACTGGAATGTGTCCAGCGCTGTGCTATGCACTAAGGTTGGCACTTCTGAGCCACGACGTTTCACTGCGATTTCAAAACATCATTTCGTGTTGGTATGTGTTGTACAAGCGTCGGCCTGTAAAAGCGCCTGTGTGTAACGGGTTTTGTCTGTAAGAGCGTCTGTGTGTACAAGAGTCTGTCAGTAAAAGCTTCTGTGTGGAAAAGCGTCTTGGTGTAAAAGCTTCTGCGTGTAAATGTGTCTGTGTGTAAATGTGTCTGTAGGGTATGTGCGTAAAAATCTCGGTCTGTAAAAGTGTCTGTGTGTAAAAGCTTCTGTGTGTAAAGGCCTTTATGTGTAAAAGCGTCTGTGTGTAAAACAATATGTGTATAAAAGGGTCTGTGTGTTAGTGTCCGTGTGTAAAAGTTTTTGTGCGTGTAAAAGCGTCTCTGTGTGAAAGCGGCTGTGTGTAAAAATGTCTGCCTGTAAAAACGTCTGTGTAAAAGCGTCTCTGTATAAAAGCGTCGTGTTTCTTCACGTCCACGGAATGATGGTGCCGAGCTTTTTCCGCAATGTGTGTCATAGTAAAATGAGATAACATATGTCATTCGCAGACTCATGGTACCGAGCCTCCTGTGCACTTTTGTTGCTCACATTATATTTCTCCATGTTTTCTTTCTACTCCCCCCCCTTGCACTCTCTCTCTCTCTCTCTCCCCTCCCTCTTTCTCTCTGTGGTTGCAAGACACGTCTCATCTGATGCCCTTTACCAAGTATCCTCTTCTTGATCAATCTTACTTTTTCACACCATATCCTTCCATAGCTCATAAAAAATTCACCAACTATTCACCGACTATCTTTTACAACTACCATCCTCAGAGCTGCTTGAAAAACATCTTTTCGCTCTCGGGCCAACCGTCGTCTAGTTTCATTGTTTCTTCGGTTTTAGGACTTACAGTATAGTTCAGGATTTTAGGTTTGAAGGTTTTCGGGTGAAAGGGTTCCGGATGACTTGTGCAATGACGCGCAGGTCCTCTACCTGAGCTTTTCAGGAATGCCAGAATGACAAACTTTTTGCAGTGTTTTGAGAATGGCTCGGAAATACGCATACAACAACACAACCAAATTAGTCAACATGTCATGTCAGCAGAGGTTGCTTCTTCTCTGTTGTGTTGACGGCACTACTTGTGGTTCTGCGCGATGCAGTGATGCGATGAAAAAGCACAGGATGAGGCTGGTCTTGCATACATCAGAACCATGCTGTCTGATCCAGTTCGTGAATACCTATCTTCCCAGGTCAGCGTATTCTACCCCATCTCTTGAGACAGGAATTCAAGAAAAAGGATGGGCTGAGAACATGCAGGAGTTTCTCAGCGCAATTCAGAATGCAGAATCAACTACCCAAATATGAAGGGGAGCTATTACCAGCCTGCACTTTCTCTTGATCTTAAGATCATGCAAGAAGTCTGAGTCCATAGTGTTTGGCTTGCAGCCTTCCAAGTATTGCATGTTATCGAGGCAAATCAACGTAGATCAAGCCCAATGCCCAGCAGCACCTTGTCATACCTCAGCTGAGCCAAGCAACTGGAGCGTTCACGAAGAAATAAGCACCTCCAGAACCTGCGAGCCCCGCCACCACCGCAACCGCCCATCCAAGCGCGGCGGCGCCACAATCTGTGCATTCGTTTCCGGTCCAGCTTTTGCCATCGGGACAAAATGCACAAGGCTCACCTTGCAAACCACCAGCACAAGTTCCTGCATCACTCATGGTACATCGTGAAATAAGGGAGAGTCTGAAGCTGCACAGGTGATGGCATCCTGTCAAATCATGTCAAGTAGTGTTCAGCAAAGCAAACCCTGCAATGAGTGGAACGGTCCTGGTGTCCCTCCAATGCACCAGGTGCTTGGTCTGCATCGGAAAACCTTCAAGGGGTCGCTTATGGTTGCGAAGTAGCCGCTTTGGATCCTGGTAACCTGCAGTGAGTCACACAGCCGGAAGAATCTTCTAGCCACAGATACGCGTCTCACGTCTCTCACCCTCTCTGAATTTATTGGAATGACTTCTGACTTCCTGGCTTGGGATGGTACACCAATGGCAACCAGCAGCATCATTCTTTCTGGCAGCCAGGACAGCAGAATTTCCGCCAACTTCGTGCGTACAAGAAACGAGTTGCTCCCCCGATGAAGGCAGTCCTTTGGGTTTGAAACTGAAATGTTGTGAAGAAAATCTTGTCTGAACATGTTTCACCATGTTTCAAAAGATTTGACATCAGAGGGAAAGGATTCTTGAATTTTACGAGGTTCTAGCTTCCCTCTGCCCGGCCGTGCCTGTCTGCAGAGTCTGAATGCTCGACGAAAAGGGGCAGTCCAGTCCATCACCGCATGGAATGCACTCCAAAGCCTCACCGCTGGCGATGTTGATGGACCCAGCCTTGCAGCCACAGTCCGAAATGGAGTTTGATCCCAGCAATAGCGTGGTGGCACCAGCAGGGCATTGCTTGCAGCCATGTTGGCCCTCTTCATTTTGGTATTGGCCAGCTGGACAGCGATTGCACCCAAGACTCCCGGTCTCGTTTTGGTAGCTGCCGGCTGGGCAAAGATCGCATGACACCGATGCCCCAGACACTTGGAACGATCCACTTGGACACTCTTGGCAAACGTGCGTGATTCCTTCCAGGGAACTCGGAAGCTTGAGAACATCGGCCCTCACTTCTTAGTGCTGGAAACACTTTCAAAAGCACAGCAATCCCTCGCAATCCGATTAGTCAATAAGTAAGTCCAAAATGGTTTTGAAATGGTTTGAACAAACTAATTCTCGATTTAGACAGCGAACGTTTTTTTTGCCCAGGACCTTGGGAATCCTCCAGCTGAGCAGAATAAGAACCTGTCGGCCATGGTGGCCATGGGACTTCATCTTGACCGAATACCGAACATATCCCATGGATTCCAGCTGAAGGCAGGATCCTAGCAAAATCAAAACCACTACTTTGTCATTACATCTCGCTAGATGTCGCTAGATCTCGCTAGATGTTGCTAGATGACGCTAGATCTCGCTAGATCTCGCTAGATGTAACTGGATGTAACTAGATGCAACTAGATGACGCTAGATCTCGCTAGATGTTGCTAGATGACGCTAGATCTCGCTAGATGTTGCTAGATGCCACTAGATGTCACTAGATGTCACTAGATGTTACCAGATGTCACTAGATGTCATTGGATGTCACTAGATGTCACTAGGTGTCGCTAGATGTCGCTAGATGTCATTAGATGTCACTAGATGTCACTAGGTGTCACTAGATGTCAGTAGATGTCGCCAGATGTCGCTAGATGTCGCTAGATGTCGCTAGATGTCAGTAGATGTCGCTAGATGTCGCTAGATCTCGCCAGATGTCGCTAGATGTCGCTAGATGTTCCTAAATGGTTGCTAGATGTCGCTAGATGTCACTAGGTGTCACTAGAAGTCGTTAGATGTCGCTAGATGTCGCTAGATGTCGCTAGATGTCAGTAGATGCACTAGATGTCGCTAGATCTCGCTAGATGTCGCTGGATGTCGTTAGATGTCATTAGATGTCACTAGATGTCACTAGGTGTCACTAGATGTCGTTAGATGTCGCTAGATGTCGCTAGATGTCGCTAGATGTCGCTAGATGTCAGTAGATGTCACTAGATGTCGCTAGATCTCGCTAGATGTCGCTAGATGTCACTAGATGTCCCTTAATTGTTCGCTAGATGTCGCTAGATGTCACTAGGTGTCACTAGAAGTCGTTAGATGTCGCTAGATATCGCTAGATGTCACTAGATGTCATTAGATGTCACTAGGTGTCACTAGAAGTCCTTAGATGTCGCTAGATATCGCTAGATGTCACTAGATGTCATTAGATGTCACTAGGTGTCACTAGATGTCACTAGATGTCACTAGATGTCACTAGATGTCACACTGGATGTTGCGAGATGTCGCTAGATGTCACTAGATGTCACTAGATGTCGCTAGATGTCACTAGATGTTACTAGATGTCACTAGATATCACTAGATGTCACTAGGTGTCACTAGATGTCGTTGGATGTCGCTAGATGTCGCTAGATGTCACTAGACGTCACTAGAAAACACTACATGTCACTAGATGTTACTAGATGTCTCTGGATGTCCCTGGATGTTCTTACATGTCACTTGATTTTACTAGATGTGACAAGATGTCACTAGATGCCGCTAGATGTGACTAGATGTCACTAGATGTCGTTAGATGTCGATAGATGTCGCTAGATGTCACTAGATGTCACTAGATGTCACTAGATGTGGCTAGATGTGGCTAGATGTCAGCAGATGTCGCTAGATGTCACTAGATGTCACTAGATATCACTAGATGTCACTTGATGTCACTAGATGTTACTAGATGTCACTAGATGCCACTAGATGTTACTAGAGGTTACTAGATGTCATTGGATGTCACTAGATGTCACTAGGTGTCGCTAGATGTCGCTTGATGTCAGTAGATGTCACTAGATGTCACTAGGTGTCACTAGATGTCGTTAGATGTTGCTAGATGTCGCTAGATGTCGCTAGATGTCGCTAGATGTCAGTAGATGTCGCTAGATGTCGCTAGATCTCGCCAGATGTCGCTAGATGTCGCTAGATGTCCCTAAATGGTTGCTAGATGTCGCTAGATGTCACTAGGTGTCACTAGAAGTCGTTAGATGTCGCTAGATGTCGCTAGATGTCGCTAGATGTCGCTAGATGTCACTAGATGTCACTAGATGTCGCTAGATCTCGCTAGATGTCGCTAGATGTAACTAGATGTAACTAGATGACGCTAGATCTCGCTAGATGTTGCTAGATGCCACTAGATGTCACTAGATGTCACTAGATGTTTCCAGATGTCACTAGATGTCATTGGATGTCACTAGATGTCACTATGGAGGTGACGCTAGATGTCGCTAGATGTCATTAGATGTCACTAGATGTCACTAGGTGTCACTAGGTGTCACTAGAAGTCGTTAGATGTCGCTAGATATTGCTAGATGTCACTAGATGTCACTAGATGTCACTAGGTGTCACTAGAAGTCCTTAGATGTCGCTAGATATCGCTAGATGTCACTAGATGTCATTAGATGTCACTAGGTGTCACTAGATGTCGCTAGATGTCACTAGACGTCACTAGATGTCACTAGATGTCACACTGGATGTTGCTAGATGTCGCTAGATGTCACTAGATGTCAATAGATGTCGCTAGATGTCACTAGATGTTACTAGATGTCACTAGATATCACTAGATGTCACTAGATGTCACTAGATGTCGTTAGATGTCGCTAGATGTCGCTAGATGTCACTAGATGTCACTAGATGTCACTAGATAACACTACATGTCACTAGATGTTACTAGATGTCTCTGGATGTCCCTGGATGTTCTTACATGTCACTTGATTTTACTAGATGTGACAAGATGTCACTAGATGCCGCTAGATGTGACTAGATGTCACTAGATGTCGTTAGATGTCGGTAGATGTCGCTAGATGTCACTAGATGTCACTATATAGATGTGGCCAGATGTGGCTAGATGTCAGTAGATGTCGCTAGATATCACTAGATGTCACTAGATGTTACTAGATGTCACTAGGTCTCACTAGATGTCACTAGATGTTACTAGACCCTACCAAGCTGGGCAATCAGCTTGACCACTCTGTGCTTCGAGATCGGCCTGAAGGACAAGCCCTGCATGTGATTGAGATAGCCTGACGGCTCTGCAGGAAGTTCTTGTCATTCTCCTGAAGTAGATCAAACCATGAAAACTAAACTGTGCATTGTTTGAAAAGTGGGGACGCATCAAATAGTCTTGGAAATCTGGTTCCCATCTCTTAGGAGAAGAAGGTCACAGGTGTAGATTCCAAGTGTGGGTTTAGAACCCCGCATTCTGCTTCACAGGCTGCCCAGAAAAGAAACATATATTTTAGGTTCGGGTGACCAAAGAAAAATATAACGTTTCCGTGACTTAAAGAATGCGGCGACCATTCCCCAAGTCAGTGCAAAACTGACATGAACCGAAATCTTTCAGATTTCATAGATCTGGCAAGGCACGCTGTACATTCCAAATTGGGAGAAACATTTTCCTTTCTCTGGAATCCACGCAGTCCAACGGTCTTCATTTGACAGAATCCAGCGGCACGCCACATCAAAGTCATCGTCGTTGGTATCCATTTGGTTTAGCATCATCTCATTTACAGCTTTGAGGCTGACGTGGAATC